TTTCTGGACATTTATGGTTTGATTTCTTTGTATGTATGGATCACTTGGGTTGTTACCGACATCTGGTGAAAATTTCATGTCATTTGCACCTCTAGTAATATATTTATTGAGAAAAATGTTGACGTTTTCAATACTTATTTTACCCGCTGTATATATATATTTCATTTTGATTAATCAAACATGAATGATTTTATAAAAGTGTGTGTTTGTGTGTGTACAGGTGATTTTATATGCCTGGGAAAAGGGGGTAAATCCCTCAGGCAACTCCACAAACCCCAGTAACTGGGATTTTAGCAGCTCCTTCTTTTTTGCAGGGACTGTGGTCACAACTATTGGTGAGCAGCACGATGATGTCATTAACTATTTCAGCTCTTTTTGAGCTTCCCTGCGCTACTAATATTATCTCTTGTCTGGTTCACAGGTTATGGCAACCTCTCCCCAAGCACCGTGTCCGGTCAGGTGTTTTGTGTGTTTTATGCGCTATGTGGGATTCCACTGAACCTGGCTTTCCTCAAACAGCTGGGCAAGTGGCTCACCATCCACCTGGGCCGACTGGAAAGAGGAATGGTGGCGGTTGTTCCCCACAAGGTACTAATGGATCTTTTTTCTTTAGTGTTTTGTTTAAATTTGTAGATTGATGCCTAAAGTGTTTTTTTTTCCTGTCTCAGAGGGCAGTTGAAGCTTTGGCAGTGAGTTTATTCTTCATCACTGGCAGCCTGCTTTTTCTAGTCATCCCTCCTCTGCTGTTCAGTTACGTGGAGGGTTGGTCGTTTGGCGAGGGCTTCTACTTTTCCTTCATTACCCTCAGCACCATTGGGTTTGGAGATTATGTTGTGGGTGAGTAGGGAAGGCAAACATTCACTAATGTGGTGAAAAGGCCTCTGATGTTGCTTCAGTCGACTAAACACCCTCTCTTTTTTTCCTTTACCATAAAAGTCATTTGAATAATGACTGAGTTGAAACCACTCACGTAACACAGTCTTATGTTTCTTCTTAAAGGGACCGACCCAGAGAAGGAGTACATCTCTCTTTATCGCAGCCTGGCAGGCGTCTGGATCATCTTTGCGCTGGCTTGGCTCGCTGTTATCCTCAATATGGGAGCCAGAGTCATGGAAAATGTGGTTGTTCTGACTCAGCCGGGCTTTAAGAGACAAGAGGAGGATGACAAAGTGTCCGCCAGTAAACTGGAGGTCACATCAAAGATCTGACAACTGACTCCAAATCGTTTGCGAATAATACTGACTCGCTGCTATAAACTGTATTTTGTGTGATAGTTTTTTTGTGATATCTTACAGTAGAAAAGCCTATGAAATGTAGCAGCTCATCATTTGTTAGCTAAAATGCTATGCACATATTTGTTCTGTGATGCTTTGTTTTTGGTTCTACCTCAGACAAGCCAGAGTCTCGGTGAGAAAACATAATCGATCTGTTGTTTTTTCCACTCTGACAGCTGTTCTACCAAACGGCTGCTATGGATCAGTGTTTACTTCTGTATGTGCTCTTCTGATTCGCACCCGTATGATTAGATGTTCAAACAGGAAGCTACAGGTTGAGCTATTGTTTCTTTTACATCCTGCCACACTTGTGTATTTTGTGTTTTCTGTGCTTGTGTGCTAATGGGAAACTCCAGTGAACTGACCACAGAGGGCTATCTTAAACAAACACATCCATCAAGATGGTGATGTGAGCTGGAAAAAGAGGAGGATAGCTTAAAAGGGCAAAAACTGTGGCACCGTATGAGGGTTAAAATTAGTGCTGTACCAAACACTTATTTTCTAATCAATTAATCTAACAATTATTTTTTCGATTAATCGATTATTCTAACAACAAATCTAAAAGTTATTCTGATGTGAGTGCACTGGATATTAAAAAGAACAGTTCTTTAATATTGTAATATTTTCTGTAATAGTTTTTTCATGGACAAAATATGCACTCTAGAGTCAATTCTTTAACAAAAAAAGCTTAAAGATTTAACATCAACATAAAATCTCAACCAAAGCATATAAAATTCAAGTAAGACAAATATAGTGCAAGATGTTAACAATCTAACAAATGAACTAAATCAAGCAAAATTCAAGTCACTCTGGAAAAACTATAACAAACATATAATAAACATTTATTTATTATTTTTTATTTAACATATTTCTCAATATATAAAATTTAACAAATGTCAAGACAACATCCAACTCTTTGTATTGTTACATCAGTTGTGTAACTTATTTCTGAAAACTGTTGAAAACAACAAGACTGTTTTGTCTTAATGCACAAATTAATATCCAGCTCCACATGTTTCTATTGATGTCATTTCCCCACTAGAAAAATGTGTGATGGAGGTCCATGGAAGGCAAATAATTTTAAATCAAATAAACAAAAGAGGATGCAGTAAAAATAAATAAAAGGTATTTAAGCTATGTTTTGAACATCCGAAACACGTCCAACACTTGTTGGCTGCTTGTGCTCTTTAGGTCAGACGTGTGTCGGGAAGCTCCTCTGTTGTTTGAGACGCTGGGGAAACCGTCTGATGGGGGAATGTGGCTCGACCTAACACCGGTCTCTGTTTAATGGCGGATGAAATAAAGAAAGTGGCGGTACTTTATTTACTTTGAGCAAGCGAACGTCATGTTCACAAGATTATTAATCCACCAGATAATTCAGAGGCGGTCTGTTCGGTAAAATTTACTCCAGGAGCTGCGAGGCTTGTTTACAAGCCTAGACTGAACTGAAGCAGCAGCTTCTGATGTCATTACGCTCTTGCGCGATGCTGCGATCAGGACAAGAATGGAAAACTCACCACTCTTATGCCAATACGGTCGCAATGATGCATTTAGGAACCGAAATGGAATTGCATGAACATTCACGTGGTGGTTATGTAATACAGCGAATCAATAATAAAAAATCTGTGTTGACAAATTTACATAATCGACTTCATCGATTATTTCAACTAATCAGTGCAGCCCTAGTCAAAATTAATTCTATTGCACAACCAGTTGCTACTTCCTTGTAGCACAAGGCTATATCTATTCCTAAGCCAGCTATTGATCTGATTACCGATAGGCTGGCACTGCTAACAGAGCAGCTGGCCCCAGTAACTGAGAGGCCAGTTCTGGCAAATGAAAAGCATACTATTCATTTGCATTAGCACTGGAAAGGCTAGTGACTAGCATGGATAAGCCGGCATTAGCATTGTAGAGGCTAGCGACTAGCATGCCAAGGCTGTTCACCTACTTTATTGACACAAACTCTTTTGAATAAAGTCAACTTTCTAAAAAAAAGTGGTTGACATACAAAATCTATAAGCAACGTGTACTGACAGGTAATGTGTTCCTTTGACGGAATTTACTGTTCAACATGACGTCAAGCATAAATAATAAACATAAAACRTATTAATGTAAAACTGCCCTTTTCAATTGGTCGATGGCTGTTTTTTTTTTCTCTTTAGCTGAATTATGGAGAAAGGGGTGTCTGCAGAACATGTTGTTCTGTGGGCAGAGATAGCCCTACTCCTGATTGGCGGAGGTCTTGATGTGGGCGGAGACGGCCCAAGAGACGTGATTGGCAGAGGTCTTGATGTGGGCAGAGACAACCCAAGACACGTGACTGGTCAGATTGATGTGGGGTTTGAGGAGGCTGGAGCCAGTGGGGAGTAGTTTGGTCGAGTCGGGCAGGAAGCAACTTTTTTTAAGATTACTTTTAGTCTAATTGAGAAAGGTAAGTGCTAGCTGCACGAAATTGGAACGTCGTACATGTGAAAGGATGTGTAACAATATGGCTCGGCTAAAACACCCCTAACCAGCCTGTGAAAAAATATTGATTTTTAGCTATCTTTTTCTTTWAAAAAAACATGTTGCTTCCTGCCCGACTCGACCAAGCTACTCCCCGCTGCCTCTAGCCTCCTCAAACCTCACCGTCAATCCGACCAATCACGTCTTTYGGGCCATCAAGACCTCCACCAATCATGAGTAGGGCCGTCTCCACCCACTGGACATGTTCTACAGAGACACCTACTTGGAATTATGAGAAAAGCCAGAACTATCAAGTTGAGGCTTTTTAGAGAAAGTTTAGTTTATAGAGAAATTTTTTATACAAAAAAGTTTGTGTCTAATAAAGTAGGTGGGCATCCTAGGCATGCTAGTCGCTAGCCTCTCCATTGCTAATACCAGCTTATCCATGCTATTTGCTTGCTAGCCTCTCTGATGCTAAAGCAATCGAGTAGTCTCCTCATTTGCCAGCGCCGGCCTCTCAGTTACCGGGGCCAGCTGCTCAGTTACCGGTACCGGCCTATCATTGATCAGATCAATAGCTGGCTTAGGAATAGATGGCATCCTGCTGCAAGGATGTTGCAACCACTGGTTGTGCAATAGTCTTATTTTGGCCCTCATACCCTGCCATAAAAAAACTGCATGAAAAGCAACTGAAGCTTAAATAATACGGTACCTTACTTCTACTGCTTCTGGATTTGAGGACTTATTTCTCCAAATACACATGTTGATGCTCGTTTAAGCCAGAGACACACAAATCAGATCTTTATATAGTCACCCACAGCAGCATTCCTATTTGTGCTGCTATCTGCCTCATCCTATTTTGCTCCTCTAGATTTGCATGTCAGGGCCTTGAAGTAATTGAAACAGTAGTGCACAAGGACATTCATTTGCCTGTAACGCAAGAAGAGAAGCCCAGTCGGTAAGCGCTCACTCCTCTTTGCACCCGACCGCAGAGGCTGAGACTCTGGGTTRAACTGGACACCAAAGGTCCAACCATCAGGCCAAGATGGGGGTGAAGGAAATGTTTAATTTGGCCTGGGTGCCATCCATTCTCCTGCTCGCCTTGATTTATGTGGTCTACGTGTTGATTGGTGGGGTGATTTTCTGGAAGCTGGAAGGAGACCTCGGCGGGAAGGATGTCAGTGGGTTACTGAAACGTAAAGAAGCTATTTTTACGAAGTACACCTGTCTGAATCAAGACGGTCTGGTGGCTGTGGCCCAGGTAAGCCTTACAAATGTGGCGCGCACAAAGAAATGGGACAACTGAGAATATTTCACTCTTGAGAAGTGTGTTTCACCTAAAAATGGGGAATTTTAGAAATAATGAACCCATAGATACAAACGTTTCTGTCTGCATGAAGATTTAGAAGAGAACAAGTTAGTCAAAAATCTTACATYTAAACTGATTTACTCACATTATTCCACGTGATTAAATCAACAGACCATAACATTCATTTTTACTTTCATGTTATAGTAGAACCGACAATGTAACAATGGGACTATTTACAAAATGCATGTAACAAAATGTACCATGCACTTTTATTTGCAAATGGCAGGTGTGTTTTTGGAACAATTTAGGAGACAAAAACAAGACACAGAAAAACAATAATTGTTATCCACGGAAGTGTAAGACCAAGACAAGGTTGTCATTGGTTTAAATTTGAATTAGCATGTGGCTGAAGGTTTAATGAAGGTATGTTATCACACAACCATCAAGGTAACAGATTATCTCAGGATGTCTGTGATTATTCCAGCTGAGGAAACAACCAGACCTCATGTAAATGTTGGGACAGCCAATAGGAGAAAGAGATAAATTCAGCYGATTTGTTGAAAGAAARGATCAAATTTACAGAAAAGTCTAGWTGGKTCCTTTACACAAACCAGTTAAAGAAAATACTGTATTTATGACTGAAACGTCTAACAAAGTGTCAATTTTTTTTGCCTAAGAAAACAATAAAATGCCAGTTAGTCTCACTCTGTTTACACACTAATAGAGCAATACATTCGGGGAAATACAACCTGCATTCAGAAAGCAATAAGACGCAAGAAAAACTGTTTAAAAGCCTTACTTAACATATCAGAATCATATGATGTCAGCATGTCATCTTTAATACCTTTTACCTCTCTAATCCAGCACATAACATTTCAAYATGTGGAATTTATAAAGCAGYCTCCCACTTTATGCAAAATYACATTTTTATTAACTGGATTACAATTTCACAAGTGATTGTGTGCATTGTAATTCACATGGATTATATTAGTTAAGTTCTGTTTGATTCTGAAAGAGCTTTAAAACATCTCACAGCAATGTGCCTCAGCTGATGTCAAGCCATTTTTTTAAAGTGATGTACGTAAAAACTAAACCCCATTCCAACTTTCTAACAATGTGAAAAACGCACGTCTTCTTCCATGCAAATAACTTGTCTAAACTTTCAGCTCTGCTTTGCCTGCATGCGTCGGGTCTGGAAGGATGTCTAAAAGAGCAATGTTCTGCGGCTGTATTTTTGGAAACAAAACACCCAGGGAGCATGCAGTTTATTTCAGCYTCTTGTCAGATTTGAAAGAATAATTAAATAACAAGAAACTGAAAGTCGTGTCAGGTAATCTGAGATTGATTTGCATTGTGTAAAAACAAATACAAGCAGGCAGCTTTTGTTGAAGCAGCACGAAGGTCTAAGATTTAAATTCAYCCCTTGCCTCGTTGTATGTAAAAACATTGGTGTGGGAATGATGACATGTTCATCATTACTACAAATACAGGCTGATGAACACAACTTTGTGCTTCTAATTTGTCATCTAGATGCTGAACTCTGAACAAAGAGTAAAGGATATCTCTGGAATGCTAACAGCTGCTTTTTATTGACCAAAAATATCTTTAAGTTGTTCCAAAGATGTGGATTAGTCTGTACAGTAGTCATTCATACAGTCTCACCTACATTTATGGACACAAAAAAACTGGAAAACTACTTTTTTCTTCCTTTCTTCTTTTTCAGGTTGTTCAAGATGTTTCAAAGGCAGGTTTAAGTCTGAAAGACAACCGCACCACAGACGGCTTCTGGAAATTTACCAGCTCTGCTGTGTTTGCTGCAACAGTGGTCACAACTATAGGTCAGATAGAAAAGATTTCATTACAAAAATCAAATATGATGAACTATTTACATCATATAGCATGTACAATTTTTTWAAATCCATTCATTATCTAGACCCACTTCTTCCTTTCAGGGTCACAGGGTTCACTGGTGCACGGGGMGGGTTAYACCCTGGACAGGTCGCAAGTCCATCACAGGGCCACATAGAGACAAACGGGACAAACAACCATTCACTCTCTCACTCACACCTATAGGGACAATTTAGAGTTACCAATTAACCTAACAGTCATGTTTTTGGTGTGTGGGAGGAAGTCGGAGTGCCCCCCGGAGAGAACCCACGCACGCACAGAGAGAACATGCAAACTCTACCCAGAAAGGTCCCCGGGCCGGGATTTGAACCAGTGACTTTCTTTCTGAGAGTTAACAGCTCTACCAACTGTGCCAGTTCTTTTAATAGTTTAATTGAATTATCAGCCCTCACCAGAAAAATGCAGAATTCATGGAATCGTGAATGAGCCATCATGTTGAAATAAATGTGCTCACTTTTGACACTAAAACAGGACACTGTAACGTTTGTTTAAGAAGCTTTAAGCCAACATTTTTTATTATTTATTAGGCTGAATTAGTTTGAACAAACTGCGTGTAATAAAATGGGGCACAAATTTACAACAGGATGATTGGAAAATAAATAATGTCGATAAAATGATATTGCAACGGTCCAGTCAAAGTCCAGACCCCGGGTTGATTGAAGTGTTGAAGAAACTCTCTCACACATACTATCAAACTCACTCACATATACTATCAAAGTCTAAGTCTCTCACAATCACTACCAAACTCTCACTTTTACTATCAAACTTTCTCACATTTACTATCAAACTCTCTCACATTTACTATCAAACTCTCTCCCATTTATTATCAAACTCTCTCACATATACTATCAAACTCTCTCCCATTTACTATCAAACTCTCTCACATATACTATCAAACTCTCTCACATATACTATCAAACTCTCTCACATATACTATCAAACTCTCTCACATTTACTATCAAACTCTCTCCCATTTATGGCCTAAAGGGCTTCTCATAGTTTCTAGTTTTGCAGGTTATGGAAACATGAGTCCCACTACGACAGTTGGTCAGATCTTCTGTGTGTTCTTCGCACTCTTCGGTATACCTCTGAATGTGGTGGTGCTCAACAGAGTGGGAAAGTACATGCTGGCAYTGGAGAGGAACATCTCAGACTTTATTGAAGGCAAAACTAAACGAAAGGTAAGTAGAATATCTGGGGTCGAGTTTTTGTACTTTTTTCTCTCAGCGATGTGACTAACACCAGCTTTCTTCCTTCATGTCTTATTACAGACGTGCACGCGTTTTTTCGTCCACTCCATCAGTTACATTTGTGGAGCAGTCCTTTTCTTCATTGTGCCCATGATTGTGTTCCAGCAGCAGGAAGGCTGGACCTACTCCCAGGCCATCTACTACTGCTTCATCACCCTCAGCACCATCGGTTTTGGAGATTTTGTAGCTGGTACAGCACCTCCTTCATTGCCCACTTTTTTTGTCTTTCGTGCATCTTTATTAATTTTCCTAACCAGTTTGTCTTTCAGATAACAATCCAGATTATAATTACCCAGACTGGTACAGCGTCCTCATGGCAACCTGGATCTTCTTTGGTCTGGCTTGGCTTGCTCTGGTTATTAACCACTCTATCGACATCCTGGAGCGGGTCAACGTCTACTTCAAACAGCTGTGCTGCGGCCAGAAATCTGAAGGAGTGTCGGGCAAAGGAGAAGATAACACTGAAACAAAACTGGAAGAAGTAGAAGAAGAAATCAAGACGCCTCCAAAACCTCATTAATGTCTTAATCATTAACTGTAAGATAAGAATTTAATGGCAGGCTGTAAGTAGATTTGTACCATCAGGCTGTGAATGCTGGGAGTATGAACTATAATTTGTTTAATATTCTGTGACTGGGCAAAGTTTGGCTCTTTTAATGTATTTTACTTTTATTTTATTTTTCCAGAGGAAGGGCTGTTTAGAGGCATTCATAAAACAAAACTCAAAGAGCACATTTTATTACATTTAACTAAGGTTGTAGTTCCTGTTTCCACACAAGGTAAAGCCTGGTTATTTAAATAAAACTTGAGCAAATCAGTGGGTATGGATTTTTTGTTTGGTCGGTACACTGTGATTTCTGAGGAATAAAAAAATCTTGAATGCTTGTTTTAAGTTACAGATTTTATGAAGATTTATTAAGAGAAACTATTTGTATTTTTAAGCATTTAACTTTGTTAGCATCTAACTAATTCACAATATAAGAGTAAAGACTGAGACGGCTGCTCCGAAACCCAGCATTAAAAATGTTTCGGTACCACTTTCAAATAAGGCTCCCTTTATAAATGGCTTATAAATAGTTTATAGATAGGTTATTCATTCATCTGTAAAAAGTGTTTATTGTGCATTAATTAAGAACAAGAAAGAGACAAAACTGTCTGGTTTCTTGCCAAATAGAGAGCCAAATTTGTTCATGAACTTATTACATCTAAAAGTTCCATTTTAAACATTTCAGACTAAGTTTCTACCTTGTAAGCACAATAATGTATTAGAAATACATATACTATTGTACTGTATTACTGCATTATACATATCAACAATTATCAAAGGGAGCCTTATTGTAAAGTGTACAACAGGAAATTATTTATTATTGACTATGATCCTTATGACATTTATACATGTTTGCTAGTAATTAATAAATAGTGTGATGGACTTGCGACCTGTCCAGGGTGTACCCCGCCCCTCGCACTGTGACTGCTGGATATGGGCACCAGTGACCCACGCGACCCTGAAAAGGAATAAGCGTGTACAGAAAATGGATGGATGGATGGATAATAAATAGTGTCTTGTTGTACATTTTACAATAAGGCTCCCTTTAATAATTGTGAACATGTATAATGCAATAATACAGTACAGTATTATGTATATGTAAAATATGTGTTTCCAGTAAATTATTGTGCTTACAAGGTAGTAACTAGTATAATAATATATCTTTAGATGTAATATGTACATGAACAGATTTGGCTCACTATTTGGCAAGAAACCGGACAGTTTTGTCTCTTTCTCATCCTTAATTAATGCATAATAAACACTTATTAATGATTTTATAAAGTGTTTACAGATGAATTAATAACCTATCTATAAATAAGCCTTATTGGAAAGTGGTACCAATGTTTTTTAGAAAGTGTTTAGACAAGAGTTTTGATGGCCCTAAAGTGCAAACCACATCAACAAATCACTAAAACAATTTGACGGTTAGATGTCAGTATCACGTCGCTCATCAYAACTGTGGAAAGTCTGAGTTAGTTGTTTTTATAAGAGGAAGATGCACTTGTCAGAATGCTTTTTTTAAAAGGGGAAGTTGTGTCACAGTGAAACGAGAAACAGGAGAAGCTTCTGCTGTGCTGTGCTGGCTGTGCTTTCACAATTATCTATGTAAACTTGTGAATGAAGTCATTAAAATGTGTGAACAAATAGCACTTTGTGAATCTTGTGTAGTAAACTGTTTCTGTCCACTTTCAGGCTCCATAACTCCCAAAATATATTAACTAAATTCTGTCAACTTGACAGACAGCCTGCAGCATCCAAACTCCAAACTGTAAAGACACATTGGTGGTTAAATTTGTGTTTGCTGGCTGAGGAAAAGTGGAAACCAAGGAGGAACCAAGCAAGTTTTCCTCTGCACTAAATCRTCATCTGGCATCTCGGGGGCATTTTGCACTCGACTGTCTTCACCATTTGAGGTCATATTTGGACAGTCCAAGTTCCAAGCATGTGGCAAATGTGTTACATAAAGTATCTACCTCAGTGACTTTCATGCAAAAAGATGAAGCATCAAGTTTCCACTGCTTGTTAAACATGCAGAATAATAATTTTTGTGACAGAACAGTGGCGGAATCAGGACAGACAACTCAGTCTGATTAGAGTTACTCACTTTAGTCTTCCTTTTGATTGATCAGTGGTCCATATTTTTTTTACTTTGATTTCCAAAATGTTGTTTTCTGACTTTTATTAATTTTTTCCACTTTAAAGCAAAATTACCTGACATTTCCAACACAGCTTTGATGCTTAAAACATGTAAACCGCTCCACCAGGGGTCTGCAACCTTTACAATCACTTCTGTGTTTTGGCTCAATAGTAAAAATTTTACGGAGCTACAAAACATGATATAACTGTGATTTTTAACTGATGGGCTGTTTCAGGTTTGTTGAAGGGGGCTTTTCTGGGCAGTGGGGGTGACATTAAAAAGGCAACAAAATATATAGTGTATTTTGTGTTTTCTTTCTAATTCTTATCTAGTCTAGTCTTTTTCCAAAAAATCCTGTAATTAAGAAAAAAAATAAATTTTAAGGGTTGGATTATTGAAGTGACCAACAAACTACTAGCATGATCTAATAAACACGTTTCACTCCTAGTAGTAGGAAAACTGATCACATTTGCCAACAAATTGACAGGGAAACTGCTAAAGCTAGCCTTTTGTGATGTGGGTATAAAAAGCAATAAGTTCAATCTGATGTTGGATGTGGTGAACGCTTCAAAGARCTGCTGCAGAGACTAAAGAACTGGAGCTGTGGTTTGCAGCCTCCTGCACTACATACTGACAATAAAATACATGTTATTAGAATGTAGTCATTTTTATTACTGAATACTTTGATTACATTGCTACTGACTTTTATTGCAATTGTTTTTAACAGTATGGTTCATTGTTAGTTTATACCACATGGGAAGGTCAATGACCTGATGTTGACATGAGCTCTGTATCCACTAGGTGGCAGTACTGTACCAAGAAAGAAAAAAAGAACAAATTTGAGATCAAATTTGAGATAAAACACTAAACACAAGAGTTAAAAGTAATATAAAACTTCACTTTATTTTCCACATTTCCAAATGAATCATATTTTGACTCAGAAAAACATTATGTAAACATATTATTTTCAGCTGTGAAAAGTCTGATGTAACTTTTTCTGCACCCTACATCATTGGATCAAAGTGTTCTCAGGCAGAGTCATTGAGTGTTTTATTCTCTGGCGCAGGCAGAAGAAATCCGAGGTGCAGACCCGTGTCGARGCTCTTATATCACAGAGTCGGACAGCTCTGTGGAGGAGTGAATGATAAAGACAGACGGCCAACAGCCGGGGTGGAAAATAAGAATGTGTTTGACAGATGGACAGTGAAAAAAGGCAAATTTCACTGGTAGGGGGAGAAAAAAAAGAGGGGGTGATATTTGAGGGGAAAGTGCAAAATTCCAGGCAGTTGAAGTAGGCAATAAAATTCTCTCTTTTTTTTTTTTTTTTTATTATTATTTCTTTGGGTTGCAGATAGTCAAACTTATTGGAAGATGCCAAAGCCAAAATAGTGGGAAAAAAGAGGCACTGCAGCCCACATACCAACGTGGCCATGGTTAAATGAGGACTGTGTATTAATGCATGTCCACACAAGAACAGCAGGCTGAAATAAATTTACTGTCAAGTTACAGAGCAGCCTTTGAG